CATCCCACCGAAACTCCAGCAAAATCCTAAACTACAGCCCCTAATACAGATGTCCCGCAAATGTATGTTGACGATGACAAAAGTTTTTGTGTATAATGGATTTGTAGTGACTAAAGCGAAGAATTAAGCGAGCCATGAAACAAACAAAGGATATTGCACGCAATGTGTCGCGCTCGGACTGGCCGCGCTTGGTCCTGTGCAAACAGGGCTAATGTGAGAAATACACACATCCATAGAGAAGGTGGCTAATATTGGACGATCGTCAGCCAACACAAACTCTGTACTCTCCCTCACCCAGTTGTTTCTACTGTTTGGTAATGAATGATATCGCTACAGTTACATTGTCGGGTACACATTGGTATCATTATCTATTATCATCAGCCGGTCACGTGAACTCGGATAAGGGGAGGATGGATTCAATTGTTTAGGGGAAAAATACAATCTTTTTCTTTCGTTATGTCCTTTTTCCTGCAAGATTCGATATTCCTCTTTTTAATTGATTGTTTGTAATCATTCTCATTGCGAAAAGCAATACGACCGATGAGAATCATATGTCCCAATTTATCAACTCTATTGAATTTTCATATTACAATAAATGATTTGCTCATGTTCCAATTCCTATGCTAACTGAATAAGATTTTAATCATAATTACAATTCAGTTTCTTCTAGAACACACTTTAGAGTGTGAATTTCTGGAATTCAATGTTTGTTGATACTCTGGTAAAAGTGCGTGCCCACACTGTTATCAATTTTTACTTAATTCACACGGTAATTCAATTAATCTGTTGTTCATCTCATCAATATAATTCCGTGCTTAGAATATTGTCGTCTCGTCTTTTCAGCACCAAATTAAAAATTAAAACTTCATTTGGAATATTGAGTCACAGCTTCTTTTTATTGACATCAGAAGTTTTGTATTTGGATATTAATATTATTTGTTAAAAGTGAAAAAATCGATCATCATTTTCACTATATTGCATTCAAATTCTCCTACCCTTAACGTCAAAAGTGTGAGATTATCTCATAATTCTAGCTATTAATTCTAATCAACTTTGTTCGAAGAAAACCTTAGTAAACGCAATATTATGAAAATAGAATTATTCGATTTTCCTCTGACGTAAATGATTTGGACAATTATGATTCGTTTATTCATATTTCATAGAATGGTATTAAATTCTTTGATTGCATTTTAATACAGCGTTGACTTCCGTGATTCGGGAATTCCCATTTCGCCCCTTTAATCCATCATCAATTTCCTCATCCAGTCGTTCCTGACATGTTCCCCCATTTATTCATCTCCATATTCCTTCCATTACCGAGTGTACAGTGGAATCGAGTGACTCTCCACGTCGAGTCGAGCTTAATCGGTTGACAAAAATGTTGTGAAAACAAATATGAAAGCCAACTGGTTGCCACCACCGGATCGATGCCAATTGCTCAGTGAATATATCCTTTTCTCTCTGTCGCCAGGTGCCTCGACTGTCCCCCTCGATTTAAAAGGGCTCAGGATCAATGCTCCTGAACAATGGTACTTGTTACGAAGGCAACGAGATGTCACCGAGCTTGAATTAGCAAAGCGGTCGAGTGCAACTTGGCCCAGGAGAGGTTCAGAATGATTAAGAGGATGGGGGATGTCGCGAAAGGGGTGCGGAAAAAATGAAATCGGTCTTTTTGGGCTGATGTACAGATGCGGGGATGCGGCCACATGGTTTCGGGCTGAGGTTCACGCTTACTTCGGCCCTTTGGACCGGTCCCCTTGAGCTTCTGAGTCACTCTTTCTGCTCGGGTGGGAGAGAGGTCTCGAGTAATGTAAGAAAATCAGGATTTATGTCCTGTCGATTTTCGTCGGCATCATAAGTCGTCTGTGGAGTTGAGCAACGTGAATCATCACGATGCCCGTAATATGAGATGGTTTACGGGGGATTTGCGTCGGAATATGATGAGTGGACATCTGTGGTTGAAAGAGGATATCGGGTAATTGTTGGGGAAATTAGGCGGTGAAAAATTGAGGCAGTGTGATTCTTTTTTTAAGGGTTGAGAGCAACATTCTTTTACTCGTTTTACGTTCTAGGGAAATTGTTTATTGGATCTCGTTGTAATTAAGGATTTTTATATTGGGAATATTACTAATTTATTTATTTTTTCACTCTGTGAATATGAATATTTAAATGAAATTATTTAACGTCATATAATCATTCCTTCCATTTTTTTAATTTTTATCTTCATTGTTTTCTCTTCATTTCTCATTAAAATGAAATCAATATTCAATTTCAACTCTTGCATGGACGGCAAAAAATACAAAAATAGTGGTGCAAAATTGAATTTATTGAAAGAGAAAGATAATGTTTTCAGTTGAAAAAATAATTTCAAGCGCAAATCTTCATTTTTGAAAGATAACTTCTCCATTTTTTAAAAATTTCATTAAATAAATTTTATGAAGAATCAATCAGAGCAGAAAATAGGTCGAAGAGTTGAATATATGATTTTTTACAAAATTGTATTCTATATTCAAAATTTATAATTTCAAAAAATTACTTCACTGATCATTTTTGACTTCATACCAATACGATTGATAATCAATTTGGATTTTTCAAGAATGATTCAGCGCGATTTTCTCAGCGTACGCACAAAAAATACTAAAACAACGGATAAATTATTTTTAAAGCATTATTTTCAAAAAAAAAATTTCATTTCCAAAAAAAATCGTCTTTTTTTACATCATAAAATTGAAATTTTTCTTATCATTTAATTCGAAGTCAATGTTCAATTTCAACTTCTGATAAAATGATGGAAAAAGTCAAATAAATTATTTGTCAAAAAATTGTTCTCAATAGTAACAATTTATAAATTCAAAAAATGATTGGTCGTTTTTTTTTCAACTTCCGAAAAATGAAATTAGTGTTGAATTTCGTCTGTCGAGATTTTGTTTATTCTGTTATATACGTACAGCAGATGACGTAACCACCGACAGGTCGCTATAAATAAATACCATTCACTCCGAAAAATTATCAACTTCCGAAAATAACTTTTCTGACAATTTTTTGACTTCAAAGACACAAAGTTGATCAGTGCTTTCAGCTTCTCCGGTATTGTCTAGTGGTTAGGATATCTGGCTCTCACCCAGAAGGCCCGGGTTCGATTCCCGGTACCGGAAATTTTTGCATTTTTTTTTATCGCAAAAATCTTATAAACAACATTAATTGTCATATCAAACATTTTTGAAAGTGAAAATTTTCGATTTCGAGTGGTTTGCGGGGTTTTTTGACCAAAAATGTACCTCTGCGCAGGCCAGCGCCATCTTACATCGCGGGATGAGGCTTAGGCTCATGCAACAGGTTGCATAACATGAAATGTTTAAAATTTTGAGAATTCTTGAATAACTATCACTCAATTTTTTAAAACATTGAGAAATGAGTAATATTTATATTTATGAGTAATATTTATTGTGCGAATTCTTTGAAGAAATAAAATAAATTTTCATAATTTTCTTTCATATTGAAGGCACGAAATTTTTAGAATTTTTTGTATCTTTAAAAAACAATTGCTTTATTGTTTAAAATTATCAATTATTTTCCAAAAAGTTGGAACAAATGAGTCGACTAATCATAAGAAATATGTCGTGGGTTGAGTAGAGCGAATTCGAAAAAAATTATGAATAAATGGAGGAAATTGCTTAAACATTCGATTGAAGACAGTTCGTTTCACCCGACTTGATCCTGTTCAATTGACTCTTTCATACTAATATAGGCCATCTTCTTGAACTTGACACAGTTACATAAGTACTTACTGACCCAATTTTTTGTTATTGATTACACCTGTGTTGACGTGATATCAAAACCAAGGAAATTCAGGCGACAATTCAAATAAAGAAACTTGTGTAAAGAAAATCAATAGCCAAATTTAGCCGCTTTTTCAGAAAATTCTATCGAATTTCTGAAATTCTATTTTTATTCGTCAATTCCACTAGAAATTTCGTGATCTTTCTGTTTTGTTGAAAATTTTAGTGAAACCCTTTTTTACTTTTGTAGTTGAACATCAGAGCTTTCAGTTGAGCTCCATTTGACCCTAAGTTTCCGAATATTTTGTCATGATTTTATTATTTTATTCTCGAATTAGATAACTGAATCGTACAATTTTTCAATTTTTTTAATGTTAATTATCAATTAACATTTGCAATTTTTAAAATATTTTATAAACCAGTATTATTATTATTATTATTATTATTATTATTATTATTATTATTACTTTGTAACAATCCCATCGCTGGTCTGAAATTGAATCGCGATATTGAATCATTAGAAAACATTTAAAAAATCTGAAAAAATTGAAAAATGCAAATTTTGAAAATTACTAGCATTGATTAGAAATAATTCATAAACAATCAATTTTCCACCATAAAATCAGAATTTTACCAGCAATCGAATTCATGCCTAAAAAAAATAAGGTTTCCGAAAGTTTAAACAATGTCAATTATTTACTTATAAACAACAAGTATTTAACAAAACAATAATTCTATGCAAAACGTAATTTTAATAGCGCTGAATAATCATGATTTTTTTCAAACTTTTCTCACGCAATTTAATTGACAAATTTGATACATAATTGAAAATTGAAAAATTGAAAAAAAATTGAAAATGGTTGATTCTATAATATGATCTGTACTAAACTGTGAAAGATCATAGTTATTTTCTAACAGTGCACGAGTTTTTTTATTTCAGTAAAGCCACATCTCAGAAATGTACATCTCAGAAAACTTTTTTCTTAGTGCATGAATCCACTCTTATCAATTTTTTTCGTACATGAGGGGAGACTCCATCAGCTGTCGAAATTCACTGTCGCCTCAGCGGTCGTCCGTCAAACAAAACCGTAAAATATTTCACGTAATGATAACGCGACCTTGAAAAATCATAATGAGGTAGAGCCAGTGCGGCAGTGGGAGGCAAAAATTCTATAAAAAGAGTCATTCTGGAGTGAGGAAGTACATAGTGATAACATAACATCGCCGACACATATTGCAATTGTTCAACCATTCCAAAACAGTCTCCAGATTAAATCGGACAGTAGACTCAAATTTGAACGCAAGGTGTCCCATAATCAAACGTTGCAGACCGGTCCATTTAGTGTTTTTCAATTCCAACAACCGTTTGAAAATAAATTTTTCAACTACTGGTTTTTAATTACTGGAACGACTTCGACAACTTCGGAACTAAATTTCCCTAGAGCTGAATATTTCTGCGACAGAAATCGTGAGGGTAAATAATCAGAGAAAATAATATACATCAGATCTAATTTTATCCACTGCATTTATGAAGTTTGTATTCAACACTTCACCGAGAGAAATAACGTTAAATTCCAAGATACATTTACGCATAAAATTTTCTATGATTTTTAATTACTGGAAGGACTTCGCTAACTTCGAAATTAAATTTCCCTCGAGTTGAATAATTCTGTGACAGAAATCGTGAGGGTAAATAATCAGAGAAGTTATGCACATCAGTTGTAATTTTATTGACTCCATTTATGGAGTTTGTATTCAACACTTCAGCCAGAGAAATTATTAATTAATTCTATTTATTTCAATGAAAGTGTTCAAATGATATGAGATGAATAACTCACTCATTCCAAATAGATTTTTTTATCAGAATCCAGAAATTATTTGTTTGTATTGAAAGAAACTAGTTACTTTCTGTGAATAAAATAAAAATCAAAATTAAGTTTAAATGAAATGTAGAATAAAACATTTCTTCAGGACGTCGTCTCTGGAGATTTTTCTATAAAAAAAAATTCCAATTTCAATCAGTTTGGCGGATTTCTGATATCATAGAAAGAACACCAAAAAATGAGCTTCGTTTTGAGTCTAATGATCTTAAATTGAGACTTCTGAAAATCTCAACTTGAAAAGTTCAGGCTTAAAATTGAACCACTTTAAAAATTTATTGTAAGGACCTTTAAGATCTTGAAATGAAATATTAATATTTAACTGATAACTTTTACAGGTCGAATACACCGAGAACATAATCTAGTTTTTAGGAAAAATGATTTTAAACCAGATGTACACACTCGTCCTTCTCCTGACAATCATCACGGGTAAGTCACGCACTCTTTCCATAGAATATTTTCTATTCAATATGTCTAGAAGAAAATGCGCAGGAGAGGTGTAGAATTTGTCCTCTGCGACATTCATTTCAATTCCTTTCATTTTCATATTTTCCCGGACGACAGAAATTTGAATCTTAACCTAATAATAACATTGGAATATTTTTTTTATTTCTATTTTTTAACCCATAAATGTAGGTTTTTGCTTTAAAAAAGGCTACGTTTGTCAAAAAAAATATTAAAAATAAAAATAATGTTTGGGGAAAATCGTAAAATGAAGGATTTATCCCTAAAAACTCACTATTGGACAGAGAGAATTAAAAAATTTTTTTTTTTCAAGTTGAGAATTTTTCGGGAAAAAGATATATTGAACATTTTATCATACAAAGCGTATTTCTAAGTATAAAAAAAATTGAAATATTAAAAGTGCAAATTTCACACAGGGTCATATTTAATGAGATGAATAGGTGATTTTCATTTCAAAATGCGGATTAGGCCAATACAAAAGGAATTCAACTGAAAATTGACCAAGAAAAAAATAAAGTTTCATCTATATAGATGAAAAATGACTGTCATTTTTTCTTGACAAGTTGTGACGGTCACAGAAGGGGGAGGGGGGAATTGTGACAGCAATGACAGTCACATGACCGTCATATGACGGGTCATGTAACGCATTTGCATCTCTAGTCCTGAAATATACTATTTCCTGCAGTTATTGGTGTGGCATCAGGCCAGTCCGGGGATTACACTGACGATCTGTACGAGCCCTCTGTTCCTGACAACTACCCCTGCACTGGAACTCACTTCAAGTGGTACTGCCAGTACTGTCAGTGTGAGGATGGTGTCGTTGGAGGCTGCACGAGGAACATATGCCCCACCGGAATCTGGAGACGCGACGGAACTCTGATCCGTGAAAATATATTTTTTTTTTAATACCTGCCTCGAAAGTTCACTTTTTGAAACCGTTCAGTGTGTGTAAAGCGATTGTTTTACGCACACCGCGCACGAAAGCAACCACTTTACCCCTACTACGGTTTCGAAAAGTGAACTCGGCAGGTATTAGAAAAAATCGGATGTGTTACGCGTGCGTACGAACAAGTGTTTCTTTACGCATTTGTAATAGAATATACTATTAATGGATTGATGATGGCTAAGTTGTTGTCAAAGACAATCAACTAGAGCATATTTCGATACGATTGCGGGAAAGTGTTTCTGGGCTCGTGGGAGGTTTATAGCACGAGCAGAAGGCGAGTGATATAATCCCACGAGTCTAAAAACACTTTTCCCGCGAGTATCGAACCCTATTTTTCATCACAATGTGTGGGAAGTGGGGTTTTGCGCACGCGGAGCATGCGTAAAATGTCAGTTTACATACAGCGTGATGAAATAGTATATTTCGTAACGAGTGCAAAAAAGTGTTTTTTGGCGAGTGGGAGGTTTATATCACGAGCAGAAGGCGAGTGATATAATCCCACGAGTCTAAAAACACTTTTCCCGCGAGTATCGAACCCTATTTTTCATCACAATGTGTGGGAAGTGGGGTTTTGCGCACGCGGAGCGTCCGTAAAATGTCACTTTCCACACAGCGTGATGAAAAATTATTTAATCAATACCGAAGATGTTTTTAGTGGAATATTGACGTAGGATGAGTTTTATTTCATTAAGTTAAGTTTTAAGTTATTTTTAAGGATCTTTTCGAAATTCTCGAATTGTGCGACGAAATTGTGAGAAGAAAGTCTAGAAATTTGTGTAAATTTATATTCATCATCATCATAATCACATTCTGGAACATATTTATACTTAATTGGGATTAAATAAATTTTATTTGAGGTAAATAATTGCGTTTAGGGAAATAACTCGTCATGAAGCTTTTATTCAACCCTGAACTTGATTTTTATTCGTATCTCTATTCATATCAAATAAATAGAATTTCAAATATAAAGAAATGGTTTCAACAACGAAGGAAGAGAATTTATCAGTTTATAATAATTTTCATTTGATTCCCATAGAGAAACTGTAATTCAATCATTCTTTAAAAATATCGAAATAGCTTTATTGGAATCAATAAAAAATCTCACGAAGAGTTCTATTTGATTCGAATGCGTCAAATGTCTCAAAAAAGTCGAGAACATTTTTATTAGAACAATTTTTTTATCAATTTCCAGCAGTACTGAATATTCTTCAAATTCTTCTGCCCCAAAAAAACGCTGAATGAACAATTCCTTATCTCGGGCAGATTTTATGACATTTCCTACAAATTTCAAACTCACCTTGAAAATCGAGATCTTTATTTTATTTCGTTGCTGGGTTATAATCACTTCCCATGACCTATCTAAGGAAACTGGGTGAGTCTACAGCTGTCAATTGTCGACTGCTCTTATCTACGATGTTATATATAACATACTATTCGTAGCTGTCGGCCGCGGCGGGGACCTTCAAGTCGCAGTCACCAAGTTGTCTAGCTACACGAATTATTTTGAAAGTTAATATTCAGATTATCAGAGACACTGACGAATCATCTGTTTCCTTATTCTAAGAAGGAAATGTGCCTTTTCGCCAGAAACCGCTTGAGACTGGATACAAGTACTTTTTCTACTGATTAAAAGTACTTTTTTGGGGGTGTAATTTAATTATGAGTTGAATTAATTAAATTACTTAATGTAACTCAATCTTCTTTGTTACTTAATTTAACTCATTCCCTCTTATTCTAAGACAACAGATGATAAAAAGTAAATAATTAATTAATTTAACTCATAATTAAATTACACCCCAAAAAAAGTACTTTTGATCAGTAGAAAAAGTACGTGTACCTAGTACCAAGTGATTTCTGGCGAAAAGGCACATTTTTGTACTTCCTCAAAATTACGAAACAACTTGATGCAAGTATTATGCGTCAAGTACCTGTGTAGTGGTAAGTACCTCAGTACTTGTCACAAGTACTTTTGTTACTTGTACTGAGTACCTGGCTGGTTCTTTTCAAAAGTACCAAATAAACTCCATATAAGTTGAGTATAAGTACTCAAAAATGTTTTTCTACCTCTTCTAAAAACCGAATTTCGTCAAAAATTCAAAAATCCAAATAATTCCATTTTGTGAGTAATAAAATTGAAAAGAAATTGAAAACAATTTTTCGTAGCCTTTTAAATGTTGATAACATAAAACATAACAACCTCAACAAAATTGAAATTTTGCAGGTTGGAAAGCATACCAATAATTCTCGAAAACATCCATGAAAATCCCAATCTACTGATTTTTTCCTATAAAATATCTTCTGCTGAACATTTCTATTCACAAAAGTGCCTAAGAAAGCCCATTCTATCCGGTAATAATATTCACTTTTCTCAATAAAAGTTCAAAAGTAACCACGACAACTCTAACGTGAGGAGAACTATAAAATAGTTGCAATGACTACATTCCATTGTAGTAATTACTTCTCCGGCCATAGTTACCGTAACCCATGAAAAATTGTTGAGGACTTTTTGACTATAATTCGATGGTGATGGAATATAGTCAGAAGAATCATATTTTTCTCTCAGTGTGGTACTTGTGAAAAGTACTGGTAGAAAGTAGTGAAGAAAGTACTGGTAAAAAGTAGTGAAGCTACTTCCACCCAGTACCATTTCTACTCGATCGGCAGATGTGGTACTTTACCCAAAGACACAAAATGTACTTGGGACGAGTATTTTTAGAACTTTCCAAAGTGAACTTCCCCCAAGTACCGGTCGCTACTGGTGAGACGTACTTTTTTTGTGTAAAAATGCCAAAAAAAATTCTCCGTTAATCTTCCTCCAATTTTCAGTTTTACCTACAACCCCGACACATGGTCCCCAGTTCCACTGAGTGGATATGCACCCTCTGTTTGGATTATGTACCGGGATGGCCCTGGTGTCTATAAACACTGCTGTGTACATGTGGGGAGGGATAACAGAGAGAGCCATCACGCTCTCGCAACCGCTATGACAGATTGAGAGGCAGGAATACAACGACATTGTCCTTTGGTGACCAACGAGGCGTCTCAACGCCACTCCCGCCCCGGCTCATTGTGCGATCCCAGCGCCAACTGTATTATTTTTTACTCCACATTATTTTCGATAATTTTTATCCCTTTTCTATGGAAAAGTTTTTGTCTCGCACGAGGGACGCAGGTTATCGTCTCCGGGGAGCCGTGATGGAGACGAGAAAGGCGGACAAATATTAAGGAATCGAGCGAGGTAGACCAGGGTCGTTCAGATACGCGAATGACAATGGAATTGTCATCCCAAAATGCACGTTAGAGTTGAGGAAACAGTTGTTGGTTATTGAAATGTTGTGGGTATTTATCCATAAAGTTAAATGTCTTTGGCTGCCGCCATTACGCCCTTTTGTTCTCGCTTGGAGCCGGAAACACCGCCATTTTGAGAGTCTAGAGTTCTTATCGGGGGGACATTCACGGGAAAAACTAATATCTGAATTTCAGACACTCTCACATTTGCATGCAATGTTAAAAATTGTTTTTGTCATACGGCCAAAAAAAAATTTTCTGACGAATATGATTGCAGCCCTCGCCTTCGGCTCGTGCTGCAAACCTCATATTTGCCAGAAAAGTTTTTTTCGCCCTAATGACGAAATATACTATTATTTCTTTTAGATTCCGAGATATTCGTCAAAAACTGGCCAGTAGTCAAAATCGACTTAACCCGGTTTACCGCTTCGCTACTGATTCAAGTTATGCCGAAAATTATTCGCATTTTTCATTGTCTCAATTTTATGTCAATTTCTCAAAATGGAGGTGCAGCACATAATTCTTAACACGAAGCAAAAAATCCCTTTGAAATGTGAGGGTGCCCCACCGATACAAGTAATACCAAAAGCCCATCTGACGAGCTCTTCACGGCTCGTTGCCCAACCGAGAGACTCCATAACAGATAATGGAGAAGCTATGCACTTGTCTGATCTGTGGCCTAAAAATCTGGTATCCCTCTCTCCAGCTCACCCCATTGGCCCGAATAAATACATCCAGTGCCCGCAAAGTGGGTACTGTATCTCTCTGTCGAGTGAGTTTGAACGATGGGCCCCCGACATCTGTTTGCAATTGCAACGGGTAAAGCATCTCTTCTCCATCATTGTCTATTCAACCGATTTGTGATTTTGAGAACTCTCAGGCGAGTATACAAAATTATCACTTGGAGGGAGATTTCGAAGGCTGCAATTTCCATTCTCAACGAAAATTGAATCTTATGTGAAAAAATGTAAAACCCTCAGTCGAATCTGAAGGTTGTTAAATCGTTCAGTATGATACTTTGCTTTCAATATTCTGGCTATATGTATTTACTTATTTATTTTTTAATTTTTTCTTTTATGTATTCTTTCTATTTCTTTTTCCTTTTTGTGTATATTTCTTTTTATGTAACCAGTCGCTAATTTCCTCGCTGTAAATGTGACTATCTAAAATTCTAAAATTCTAAAATCCTAAAATTCTAAAGTTCTAAATGAAAACGGAATCTTATTTGAAAAAATGTAAAATCATTAGTCGCGCTTGAAGGTTGTTAAGACGTTTAGTATAATACTTCGCTATCAATATTCTGTCTATATGTATTTACTTATTCATTTTTTAATTATTCTTTTTAACTTCCCGACCCGAAGGGAGGAAGTTATTGTAATGACCCCGAAAGTCGAATGTGGAAATTTAAGCATTTCTCCACGTTTCATGACCTTTGGAACCACTTCTGACCCTTTTCAGGTACCTGTCTGTATGTGTGGATGTGTGTATGTGTGTGCGTACGTCTGTGACAAAAATTTTGTGCCACGATTCCTCCTGAACAAACGATGCGATTTGACTTTTTTTTTTTAATCGCTGTATTTTCATGTGACTTGAACCTGATTAGATTATGGAGACGATCGTCTCAGCGTTTCTCCAGTTTTTTCCAAAAAACATTTGGAAAAAAGTCGAAAATTAGCGTTTTTTTGTAAACGAGACCATTTCTCCGTGCATAACGATGCGATTTCAAGTTTTTTTTGTTAGAAACGATGAATCTTGATATAACGCACAAATCATGGAATACTGGAAGACATTTAATCAGCAGTTCACTAGCTTTTTTCGAAATCGATATACATTCAAGAAACAATTTTACTTTTCTGATAAATTACATCTTTTCTCGATGCGGAATACGGCGATGTGTGTGCATGGGAGTGTGTGTGAGTGCGAGCACGCGCACGGATTTTCTTGTCTTCTATGGGTATTTCCTCGGAGAAATGTGAGAAAA